TGGGCTAGATCAGGAGGCTTGGCAGGCCGTATCTGCCCTGCTCCTGCTCAAATGCATCCCAAATGCACGTTTTTATTCACACTTCAAAACATGGCATTTTAATATATGGAGGAGTCAGTTAAAAGTTTTATAAATACTTATCACTTATGGACTAAACCTTTGTGAAGTGAGGTTCTTCATTTCGACACTGCACCACTTTATATTAATCATACTATGCTTGTGGCCATTTAAAATTACAACCTTAATAATGATTTTCTGAACATTTCAGATAATGGAGACATGGGAACATACTGTTCCGAAAAAAATCTTCAAATGCTTCTATGGATGCATTGAACCGAAGTGAGGAATAAAGCAAGGAGTGAATTAAAATATATATTGTGAAGGTTCAATATCCCATAATATGCTTAAGTTCACAATTTTCAGACCTATACAAATATTTACAGAACTAATGACTTTCTCCAGCACAGTGCTGGACCAGTGATCACAACAAACAAAAACTGTTGCTATATACACTCAAAAAATATATAATTTACAATAAAAAGAACCAGTCACAACATATTTTTAGCAGACTGATTTAATTAATTGAAAAAAGAAGATAAGCTGGTCTATGTTTTTTGTTGTATTTTCTGAAGGAGAAATTCTATTTGTAAATTTAGATTTGGCTGTCCTTTTTTGGTCCTTTTACTTAATATTTTAAATGCTTCCATTTTCTTTTGCTTGTAGAGCCTTTGAGCTTCTTCTTTTTCTTGTTTCCTTTTCTCTGCTGCCTCTTTCTTCTTGGCGCATTCAGCCTTTACTTTCTCATATTCTTCTTTTGCTTTTTGATTTGAAGTTTTCTTTTTAAACTTCCTTTGAGTCCTATCTGACTTTACTGTTGTTTTGTATTTTTGTCCCAACAAAAGTAGAGCTCTTTTATTTTTTGACTGTTTCTCAAGTAGTTCCTCTTCAGACAAATAGAGATGCTTCAAGTGGTCTGGGTAAATATCTGTGTATTTAACTTCCCGTTCAGTATGTACCTTTCTTTCCTTTTTTAGTAATTTCTTATATTCCTGTTGGATCTTTTGCTTTCTCCAAAATGCAAATCCTTGTCCCTCCCGGACGTTTCCCAGCAAGTTCTGCTGCGGGTCCAGCCGCCATGGCCACTTCCGGTGGGGATCCCGGGCCGTCGCGGTGTTTTTCTTCAGGGTTGGCCCGCGCCTCGCAGCCACCGGTGCCATCAGCCTTGCTTCCTCCCCCATCGCGCTCCGGTTACCTCACCCAACAGCACCCGCTTCCTATGGAGTTGAGGTGGATGGACAGAACAGGAACTGTGGCCAATGGGAGCTGACGGGGCAGTGCGCTAAACCAAATCAAGCCAAGCTATCTGCCTCCCACCCTCTCCTCCATAGTCAGGGGTCTTGGCTCCTTTCAGGAGCAGCATAAATACCCTGCACAGATAGAAATGTCTATCCTCAGAGATGCATCAATATCAGCTGATCACTGGACTCTGTTCCCAGAAGTCATGGTAGCTAAAGGAGAGGAACATGGTGCCACCACACTCAAGAGCCTGAGTTTTCTTCATGATATCCCAATAAGACAGGGTAGACTCTATTGATCTCAAATCCTGGCAATTGACAAAGTAAATCTCATCACCCTCCCTCCACCACAGGGGGGACTCAGGGTGCAGATGCTGGCCTGCAAAGACCACAAGATCTCACCATATCTCTGGAGTCCAAGGCACAATATCAAAATCCCTGATCTTTTATCTCAGGGAACCATTCACTGTAGTCTCTTAACCACACTGAAAATCTAACAAATTGCAATGAATAAACAAGTCCACCCCAATACCTCTATTAGGTACTAAGTGTGTTACTCCTCAATTTAATGTGGCTTGAAGGTACTACAAAATAGTCCTGTCAATTGGACCATGGAAAAAACCTCATTCCTGACCCCCTAAACAGGTGATCAACTAGACCCATAGCATCTGTCAGGCTGGGTTCTTACTCACAGAGTCAAAAGAGGCTCTACAAGGCCCCTGCACTGGGCTAAATTCTGAGAGTTGCAAATGCTGCCTAATCAGCACCTCTCTCCCCCAGCTGGCCACTTGGTGAGACTCTGAGGGGAGGAACTATCTATTGTCCTTTGGCAAGTGTCTTCCTCCCTCACTACTGGCCCTATCAAGTTCATCCACCAGTTAATGCAGGTAGATGACAAATGCTGCAATTCAAAGTGAGCTATGTAAACACCGTCGTACACTGTGGCTGGAGAGAAGGTGCTGGACACTGTACTGCTAAAAATAGCATTGTATATGTAGGAAGAGGCACTTCAATTTATAGAGAGGTTTGGTGTGTTTGTACCTTGCTCATCTAAGCAGTGCTGCACCATCTAGACTGCTAGCTGAAAGTACTGTACATGGCACTAAGTGTACATGTAACTATAGAGTCTGTGTCAGAATTGAGATTATAGCCATGCAGTTCTTTACTTAAAATCCTATGTTCAGTAATCCATCGAACTATTCTAGCTAACCCAGTGATTTTTAACCAAGTGCCAACTATACGTATAATACTCAGATATTATTTTAATAAGCCTGCAATATTACCTTTTCAAAATCACAGAGTGATAGACTGCAGTTGTATTTTCTGTAGAGCTCTACCAAGTCTTGTAAATCATTCACCAGCTTCTTTAACCGATGTACCTCTTCACAATCACACTTCTGAAACATAAAAGCAGAAAAAACATTTCTGAAGTGCTAATAAAAATTGTCTGAGGTTTGTATATTATGTGAAGCTCTTTGCAGAATTGCTATTGTTTTCATAAAAACTTACAATAGAAAAGTCAGACCATAGTCATAAAATGAGACAGGAGTGGCCAGAGACAACTGTTTCACTATATCCACAGGTGCAACTGTAGGTACAGAGTACACATTACAATAATTTACATAACTTTACTTTTATTTGAATGGTCTAATCAAGTTTTGACATAGCTACTTTTGACAAGGCTATTTGTGCCTACACACCAGTAGCAAATCCTATTTCTGTGGAATTCAACTTCCATTAAAACAAAATAAAACCTACAAGTTTCTGGCTCGGACTTCTATGAATTGAATATTGGCCAGTTCAGTGTTCAGCAAACAGGGGCAGCAAACAGGGAGTTTCAAGAGGGAGTTCTCCAGGTAAAGGAGGAGCAAATACGGGACCCTTGAGATAAGTGGCTGTCTGCAGTGTGTGTTTGTATGTTTGGGGGTTACTTCCTGCATGCTGAGCTTGTGTTTGTGTGTTTGGTTTGTTTGTTTGAAGGAGCATGTGCTGTGGCCAGCAGTTGGAAGCTGTGAGCTTCTAAAGGTTTGAAATCTAGAAGCCTCTGTTCATTGGCTGAGCCTTAGTCAGAGGGACGGGCTATCAGGAAGGCAAGGGCTTTATAAAGCAGCGACTCAGCAACCAGGGAGCTTTGTGAACAGGGGCAGCAAACAGGGAGTTTTAAGAGGGAGCTGGGAAGGGGCCATGGTATACTTGCCATTCTTTATGGTTTAGTTTACAGGTTTTAATCAAAACTTCCTGATTTAACTAAAAACCCTATCAATAATCTAGGTAGCTGTAGGAGACAATGCAGGCAGAAGCCCAGGAGCAGAGTGGGGGCTATCCTGTTTATTGTATTCAGTGTTGCATGTATGATTACCTGCCCTGTGGCGTAAGTGTGCATTTGGTGCAAGGAGCTCCTGACCCTCAGAGACAACGTATGAGCTTTGCAGGCCAAGATGGCTGAACTGGAGGAGCTGAGGGAGGCAAAGAGGTACGTAGATGAGGCTGAGACACTGTAGAATTGTCCCACCTCCAGTCAAACAGCCCCTGTGCTGTAAAGGAGGATGAAAGGCTCAGGGAAAGGGAGCAGTCAACGGGAGCAGATGAAAACCTTCCCATAGATGGGACCCTCCTTCTAGATGTTGCAGTATCCTCTCGCACTGAGGTTACCTCTCCAGGGGAAAGAACGCCAGTCATTAGGAAAAGGCAGGTGTTAGTAATGGGAGATTTGATCATTAGAAATGTAGATAGCTGGGTTTGCGATGACCGGGAGAACCGTATGGTGATTTGCCTGTCTGGTGCGAAGGTTGCAGAGCTCTCGAGGGATCTAGATAGACTTATGTGCAGTATTGGGGAGGGGCTGGTGGTCATGGTACATGTAAGTACCAATGATATAAGGTAGGGTAGAAGAGACGCCTTGGAGGCCAAATTGAGGCTGCTAGGAAAGAGACTGAAATCCAGGACCTCTATGGTGGCACTCTCAGAAATGCTTCCAGCTCCACGCACAGGGCCAGATAGGCAGGAAGAGCTTCAGAGTCTCAATGCGTGGATGGACGATGGTGTAGGGAGGAGGGGTTTAGCTTTATATGGAACTGGGGAAACTTTTGGGATAGGAAGAGCCTATACAGGAAGGATGGGCTCCACCTAAACCAAAGTGGATCCAGACTGCTGGCACTTAACATTAAAAAGGTTGCAGAACAGTTTTTAAACTAAGAGATGGGAGAAAGCCAATTGGTGCAGAGGAGCACTTGGATCGGATAGAGACATCTCTTAGAGGAGAGTCTATTGATAGAGATTCTCTAGGTTTTAGTCAGGAGGAGAGGATGAAAGAGGATAAAGTATGGGCAAGATCAGACAAAAAAAAACCATTCACATAAAAAAGAATCTGACATCAGAAAAGGGCAGACAAATAAACAGTGCTAAGTTTTTAAAGTGCTTGTACACAAATGCTAGAAGTCTAAAAAATAAGATAGATGAACTAGCTAAAAAAGATGATGGGTGAACTAGAGTGCCTCATGTTAAAGGAGGATACTGATATAATAGGCATCACAGAAACCTGGTGGAGTGAGGACAATCAATGGGACACAATCGTTCCTGGGTACAAAATATATTGGAAGGACAGAACAGGTCATGTGGGTGGGAGAGTGGCATTATATGTAAAAGAAAATTTAGAATCAAATGAAGTAGAAATCTTAAATGACTCAACATGTTCCATAAAATCACTATGGATAGTAATTCCCTGCTCTAATAAGAACGTAACAGTAGGGATCTATTATCGACCACCTGACCAGGACAGTAACAGTGACTATGAAATGCTAAGGGAGATTAGAGAGGCTATCAAAATAAAGAACTCAATAATAGTGGGGAATTTTAACTATCCCCATATTGACTGGGTACATGTTACCTCAGGACGAGATGCAGAGACAAAATTTCTTGATACCTTAAAAACAACTGCTTCTTGGAGCAACTGGTACAGGAACCCACAAGGAGAGAGGCAATTCTCAATTTAGTCCTGAGTGGCATGCAGGATCTGGTCCAAAAGGTAACTATAACAGGACCGTTAAGAAATAGTGACCATAATATAACAACATTTAACATTCCTGTGGTGGGAAGAACACCTCAGCAGCCCAACACTGTGGCATTTAATTTCAAAATGGGGAACTATGCAAATATGAGGAGGTTAGTTATACAGAAATGAAAAGGTACTGTGACTAAAGTAAAATCCCTGAAAGCTGCATAGACACTTTTCAAAGACACCATAATAGAGACCCAACTTAAATGTATACCTCAAATTAAAATACATAGTAGGAAAATTTTAAAAAAAGCCACTGTGGCTTTACAATCACGTAAAAGAAGCAGCGAGAGATAAAAAAAAGACATCTTTTAAAAAGTGGAAGTCAAATCCTAGTGAGATAAATAGAAAGGAGCATAAACACAGCCAAATTAAATGTAAAAATGTAATAAGACAAGCCAAAAAAAGAGTTTGAAGAACAGCTAGCCAAAAACTCAAAAGGTAATAAAATGTTTAAGTACATCAGAAGCAGGAAGCCTGCTAAACAACTAGCGGGGACCCCGGACAATTGATACACAAAAGGAGCACTTAAAGACGATAAAGTCATTGCGGAGAAACTAAATTAATTCTTTGCTTCAGTCTTCACGGCTGAGGATGTTAGGGAGATTCCCAAACCTGACTTGTCCTTTGTAGGTGACAAATCAGAAGACTTGTCACAGATTGAAGTGTCATTAGATGAGGTTTTGGAATTAATTGATAAACGTAACAGTCACAAGTCACTGGGACCGGATGGCAATCACCCAAGAGTTCTGAAAATTCAAATGTGAAATTGGGGAGCTATTAACTATGGTTTGTAACCTATCCTTTAAATCTGCTTCTGCACCCAATGACTGGAAGATAGCTAATGTAAAGCCAATATTTAAAAAGGGCTCTCGAGGCAATCCCGGCAATTACAGACCAGTAAGTCTAACATCAGTACCAGGCAAATTAGGTGAACCAATAGTAAAGAATAAAATTTTCAAACACGTAGAAGAACATAATTTGTTGGGCAAAAGTCAACATGGTTTCTGTAAAGGGAAATCATGTCTTACTAATCTATTAGAGTTCTTTGAAGGGGTCAACAAACATGT